AAAAAAAACTGAATGAAAAGCAAAGGGCTGTTAGCAGTACTAAATTTGCCAAGACAAATTCCCTCGGCAGGTAGCGCAAGTGGTAGGAAATGCCAGCGGCAACCACTCGCCGGTACGGTTATCGGTCGTTCCCTTTTTCGAGGGCTACTTTTAGGCAAGTTGATGGCTAGTATGACTCTCCGGCAAATAATAAAACAAATGTGCGAATTGTACAGGAATGTCCCACGGGTAAAGTTGAATCCACATCCCACAACAGTGGTACTTTCCACACAGTAGTACCCAATTACGACATAAAATTTTGAAAACAAGACAGTTAAAAACCTTCTGTGATTCTCTTTTATTTTCAAAAAAGTTCGCTTCTTACTAAAGTTCCGACTCCGACACACAGCGAATGTACAGCAGAAAAAGCCACAGTGGTGGCGCATACTAGGGGCAATTACTCGTCTGCAAAGCCGTAAGTGCTTTAAAGAGATGCTTACTAAGAAAGCTGCAGCGACTTGACTCCCTGGAATGCTTAAGTCGATAGTATCAATTTTTAACTTCAATGGACCACGCAGAAACTTTCCCAAAACGTAGAAATATTAGTTATCCAGTGGACCGCTCCGTAAATAGGAGATTATCATCTCCGGTCGGCCATCAGCTTGCAGCTTTCGAATCTTCGAATGAAGAAGCCACCAAAAACTTTGCCTGTGGGTAGCCGCTGTTGGCATTTCTTACCGCTCTAGCCTTTCATACCGAGTGAATACGGAGAGGGAGAAGTGGGAGTTGATTACTGACTTTTGATTATAAAACCCCCTTGATTTGTAACTTATGTGACGAAGTCCCATGGGTTTAGAATTTCAATTACCGTATACCTCAACTGACTCCCAGGCAGCTCATGCTAAACAATTCTTACTTGCATCCACTGTTCGAGAATTCGTAATATCCATTTTTGCAGTGGTCACAAAACTGTCCATCAACGCCTGGTTTGCACGGGCACTGGCCATGCTCATCGCACTGCAAACTCAGAGAGCCGATTTCGTTACACTGGCATGGGATACAGTAGTGCTCCCCAGGTCGACGCCAATTATTCGCCGCACACTCTTCGCAGTGCGCTCCCTGAAATCCCAGAATGACGGTTTCACGAAGTAACTGTAAAATCGTGGTACTTTTTAAAAAAAACACGGCCATTTATGCTAGTGTGTCTCTAAACAATTCGATGATTTTTAATGCAGAAGTTGTCAGCCTGCTGATAACAAGTGGTAACTATCTTTCTTTCAGTTAGTCCAGAAAAGCGATAGCAAAAAAGAAAATTTTAAGAAGCCTTATACCTGCGTGTTACCGGCACAATCAATGCAGTGACCGCCACTTCCGGTCAGTTCGAAAAGCGCCTGGTCAAAATAACACCGATTTGACAAATGACTGCAATTGCATGCTGCAATATCATCCGAAATTTTAGAGAACAAGAAAAATCTGAAAGAATAAAAAAGAAATGAAGATTCAAGGAAAATCTAAGCGATTCTGAAGACGCATTATCTGACGAAAACAAGATGCCCAATGCCTATTTCTCTTGATTCACTTGCTCAATGCTCAACCATGTCAGTTATCCTGAAACTAAAATATTCGATGTCCTATTTGCAATCATGGACCGAAACATTTTTGTCCAAGAATCTAATCTTGTTGTTTTTGACTTTCATTACCAATTTGCTTATTACCCTTTCCTTACCTCTATATTGTTTTATATATTTCATCGCACCATTCTACAAATGGATCTATTTCCAACCAGCCAGAGATCAGAAATGTTCAGCACCTTTGGGCGGAGTAGAGAATGCAGTCTAGTTCGATGATCACACGGATAGCAGGAAAATGAAAAACGTACAAAGTGAAGGTTGGAAACCTCGGTACTCTGTGTGCGCTGCCAGCACTTGTAGATAAGTTGTGCCAAGGATTACCCCGGCTAAGGCAAATACAGCGTGTATTAATGAACTAAATAACTGGCCAACGCACGGGCTGCCCTTGTGATAAGGCGTTTTTTGCATAGTTCTCCACAGTTTTTGTCGCTACCGGCACCAGTTTTTCCGGCAAATGCTTTTAGCTAAACAAATTAAGACGCCGCCAGAACTGTCAGGAAACACCCCCTTAAAATTTCAGTTTTCTAGCTTTCGTGGCTTCTGAGTTAGCAACTTACTGGAAAAAACTTTTACGGGCCGTACGTGGGTACCACGCATATCCGATATCTGGGTTTAAGTTTGTTGGGACTTACGTGGACGTGGAACATCCTCTTAAAACTACAGTCTTCTAGCTTTTCAGGTTCTCGATTAAGCAACTTACCCGAGAAAAACTTTGGTGAACCCGTG